GGGATTGTCCCATGCAGACTGTACAGGTTAAGCTGAAGGGCGATAACAACATTGTGACCTTTTCAAACACCAGAGCAGGTGTGCTGACAGCCCAAGGCAGGAGCTGCACAGGGCTGAGGGAATTTCCTCATGGGAGCTTCCATATCATAAGTTCTTAATATGTAGCCTAAGCAGGACTGCGGAGGATACAAATTGAATTCTTGTAATTCTTAGGATGCTTGAGAACGGGTGTAAATCCAAATGTGAGAGGATGCTGTAATGACAGGATTTCATCTGCCTGTACAACGCATTCATAAGCATTTCCTTGTTAGGAGTTTGATTCAAATAGAGGAAAAGGCAAAATATAAGATGCTAAGAGAATGTGCTCCAGTGGGAAAAATAACAACATATTTTTGGGCCCACACATTCGCTCAGATGTGTAAGGAATTTCACATACTCATCTAATCCGTCAAAGTGAAGGAGAGAATGTGTTGTCATGTCAACTAGTTTTGTAATCATTCTTCTGTGTGTGCTTGTGTGAGCTCCCTCCTACCTTCCATGTGTCAAGAGGGACTGCTTTTGAGAAAACAGCCTTGAACTTTAAATTAAAACATCACCCCGTGGTTGTGCTTCTGTCAGGCACAGATATCAGTGTCTCCACTTCACATCCCGCACAGCCACAGAAGCCTGAGAAATGTAGTCGGCTGGCAGAAACATTATTACACCTCACATGGTTTATAGATGGCATCATCAGAAATGTCATTATGCTACGGTGCGCAAAGTAGATGCATCGTAGTCCATCGTCATTATGTTTTCTTGAGAAATTTATGGAGGAAAATGGCAGAAAACTACATACTGAAATGACAATGCCAGAGAATACACTTTCAAAGGAGATGGCTTTTTTAAGTCACAAGGTAACGTTCCTTTTTTTTCTCAAATTTGAACGTTTTTTTCCCAATCTTGCTTCAAGGTGCTCCTCGAAAAACTAGGGACGAATCATCGAAACATGAACATTGGCTGTACAAATAATTGAGAGTTGTTGTTATCGCATGAGAATTTTTTTTTAAACCATGTAATCCTCTAAGGGATTACTTGTTTCTTTATCACCCGAGAAGCTCATTCAGTCCCCAAACAAGGTTAATGTACAATAAACCTCTGGTTGAGACATTCCACAAAAATTATGCTTTAAAAAAAGACTTTTCTCTTCAACATACATTTTAGTAAATACATACAAATCACCTTCCATTGAGCGTCATGTATGGGTCCATCCAACATGTCATGTCACACCCTGACTGCTTTCTTTAATGTAACAACTGAAACTGTTATAGGTTAAAAAAATTTCAAGATATATAAAAAGGTATGAAGCAATCTAAAGTTTGAGTTAGATCGTGTTGGTATTTTGCCTTTTCCAGCCATTTATTTTGGATTCCAGCTCTCTAAAAAAGGCCTGTGGCGTAGAAATAATTGAGCAGGAGTCCTCAGTTTATGTACTGACCAAAACACAGCCATTAAACCCACTGCGGTTTCTGTAGATGACTGGGTTTATCAAATGAAATTTGACATCCCCCATTAGTAGTTAATTAGCTGAGACAATGAACAGGAGTAACATTACTGATTCATTTATCCTCAGACTGATGATGAGGGGGACCTCTTTCACCCTTTTGCCAAGGGCAGATTTTTAATATACAGCCTTGGAGCATATTAGCTTTCATAACAGCTACACCTAATTATTACATAACTTTAATACACCTTTAAGGACTTCTGTGCTCAAAGACAGTGACAGAAACTTCTAAAGTTTAATTGAGAAGTGGAGCTACATCAGACGCGGGGTGCCACGGTAATGTTTTCAGTGGTGATGTATCCCTTATGACACTGAAAGCTTCGGTGGCAGCTCGCCCAGCCCAAGCTGGTAATGTCCTTGTCACTGCTGCTCTCTGTGTGATACTTAAGGTTGCCAGTCTTTCTTGGAACAGTTCTCCCGTCCCAGCCTCCCCGCTCACCGACCCATTATTCTTCCAGCTCGGAGCTCAACGCAGCCCACTGCTTTCCATCCCAGCGCTGAATAAAACAGGCCCCGGACACACAGGGGCTAATTTACCCCGCGCCTCTGCCCACTTCGTTTTCCTTCCCCAGCGTGTGTTCTTTTTGTAAAGTTTGTTAAAATCCTTCCCTAGGTCTCGCACAGTGACCTTTCTATGTTTTTAAGCCTGTGACTTGGACTCCTGTGGGGACCATTATGGTGTCCATTGCCCTTAGTCATTTTTTCCTTCGACACAACCCTCCATCCTCCTCCTCCTCCCCACGCTTACTTCCTGCTGTCTCCTTCTCTTCCCTCACCTGAGGCCAAAACTCTGTAAGCAAACAGAGGCTTCATCGGCTGCTGTTGTGGTTGGTCTGTAGTAATAAGTCCTTAATAAACATTACAACCAAACTCAATATAAGAATATATGATCTAGAGATCAGACATGTAGGTAAAATGACTAAATGTAATCATTTTGTTCCATAAGGTGTTTGCTCATATGGGTTGCTAAAGATAATAATTACTTTGACATGTATTGAAAGGCTGTCTAAAAGATGGATTTCCTTCAATGTATCTTAAAGGGCAAAGAAAATGTCACTTTGCACCAAAGGACCGACTGATGATTATTTTCTACATAAATTCTTAACAGAGATTAATTGTAGTTTTAGCGGCTTCATTTTACACATGTTCTGGATGTTTTTGTCTTATTAAAACTCTTATTTAAAGTAGAAATTGAGAAAAAAGGTCTGGTTTTTATCCTGGGAAGTCTTTTGTGTCAGTTTTTTACTTGTAGAGGCTGGACTCATGTTCACAATCCGGACACAAATCTGCTGATTTGATGTGACTGCTCTGGCATCCTTCCTTTTTTCTCGTTAAGGGTCATTTGTCCTTTGCCCTTTTTATATGTACATATATTTTATCAATACACTCAGGTGTCATAAACTTAATGCAAAGGCCCATTACCTTGAGAACTGGCAGACAAGCTCAACACTTTTCTGTGATTTATCTGTGGTGGTACAGGAGGGAAAAAAGCGCTGCATCCGTCATATTTCGAAAGCTGGCACTTTGCTCTGGCACATTTAATGGTTACATTGTGCCCTTAACCGCAACTTTGCCTGGATTAAAGTCAAAGCATAGCTCAGTAAACAAATACAAATACCATCTTCTATAGATGGTATTGTTGTGAGGCAACCATGCGAACCTTGATGGAACAACGCATACAAAGAGATCAAAAAGGTTTGGTCTAGATTACCCTCTTCACACATCAAATGCTCAAATGGACACACCAACTGTTGGCTGTTAGTGAGCGGCTGGGACAAGGAACATCTTAATGAGCATCTTTAGGTTTGACTGAGGCAGTCAAAGCCTTGCTGGAGCCTGGACATCTGTGCTCCCAAGAGCTCAAAGAGCCAGTGACCTGTCACTTCCTTGCCAAAACTGGAGCTCATTTGTGGAATACAGTATGTCTTCCTACAGTGGAGGAGTAAAATCCAGGTCTCAACAGAATGTAGGATCAAAGCATGTCCATTTCTCAGTGTCACCAGGTGATAACCCTCATTTCTCTTGCCAAACTGGATTCCACTCATATTTCACAGACAAACTCTGGGCATTGCTCATCTTGCAGCCTTACTTCATGTGAAATGATGACCTGTCCTAGCTTGTTGTGCTAGGACACATTTGCCAGCTGTCCTGAGTACGACTGATAAAAACAACAGATTCATCATTAGTATGGAAGATTAGAGCATTTCCAAACATGGGTGGAGGCTGTCAGTGTTTTCTTTTGGTACATTTTGCTGGTTACTGGGCAAAATAATAGTGATGTCCAAAGCCAGAACCTAGAGATAAAGATATGTTATTAGAGACTCAAACCGCATAGTGCAGGTTATTAGTTCAGATGACTGCACACGTCAAACCATTATAGTATGATCTGTCGATAGTTATGTACATAAAGAGCAGAGGCTAACCGAGCATCGCATTCTGCAATGCTTCAAGAGTTTCCTGGATGAATAATTGTTCCCAAAAATTCAATCAATACAGACCATTAAAAGAGAAGCGATGCATTAAAAGTGAAGTCAGATTCTATTGAATAGCGTTGTCTCATACAACACATTTAGATATTATAGTGTCTTTATGCATTTGGTTACATTGCAACCTCAAAATCTACAAATCGGGGCATTTTTAGAGAGGATGAATAATGTCACATTAACATATGGATGTCACTTTCAAATATTAAGAACCTCTGTTTTGACGTGAAATTATTTTTCCGTTGTCTTCCAAAGCTTTTGGGTGGTAACTTTCAATGAAAGTGAAATCACTGTCCATCTCCAATTTGACAAAGGTTGAGAAGATCTACAGACTTAACATTACACAAATTACTGTGCTTACTATTTTTAACACCAATTCCATTTTTTTTTAAATGATGTTGGTGCTGATAAACCAAATAAGAGTTGAAAAAATCCAATGAATTTATGAATATCCATGATGTCCTGTTTTACATTGTAATTATGGGGTAATAAGAACATACGGCTGCTTCTAATGTGAATAAGGGAACAGCTTGAAAATGAAACTTGCCATCTGTTACAGCTCACCAATAAGCAATAAGTGAAAATGAGCATTCATGTGAGCCATTGCTGTGTTCAATTCATTCAACAACTGCTTGCTCCCAGGTCTTTATATCTAACCTCCAAGAGTGCTGTTCATTTTTCAGTAGTTCATTCATCCCAACTACCAACAATAACAAAAACTTAAATGAGCACTTTCAGTAATATCTGTAAACCTTGCATTAAATACCAGATATGTGTTTGGTCAGGCTACAAATCCCTCATAGCCACTTATTTGTTCACTCTGGTGAGGTCACAGCACCATCTGGTGTATTTTTCTGCAAGTTCAAGTCATAGTGCCACCACAACATTTTTCAAATTAAATCATCTTTCAAATAATAAATGTTTAAACAAGCTTTTCTTTCAGATGCATTGTCTCTTACAAGCAGGACTCACTGACTGGGGTCTGGAAAGGTTTATTTGAAGAGACATTGTTTTTGTAACAACTTGAGGTGCCTTTGAAAAGACAATCTTTACATACATACTGTACATACAGCAAATTCAACCAGCCAGCGCTAGAAAAACACTGTGTTCCCTTCGAAACATTCGTTACTCCTCACATAAAATGATCTCTATTAAAAAATAAATAACAAATTAACCTGTTTACAGCCAAACAGTTTTGGTCAGTTACAGGACTTAAGTTACGATAATCTAACTTTTTTGCCTTTTTTTGTAACATCGTTGTCAGCAGGAAGCAATGGTTCAGTTGAAAAAGTGCAGCCAACTCGACTTGTCAGACTGTGTAATACTTATGATTTTGTGTTAACTGGGAAAAAAGATTGCTTCTCTGTAAGGTGCTTTTCCCTCACAATCCTGTTGAGGACTTTTGCATTCTTCAGTTTAACTAAAGACTGTTCCTGTCTAGGCTGCATGACTCGTGATTAAATTGTCTTTTCTAAAATTGAAGATTCATTTAAAGACATTGTATTAATGATTTACAATCATTAATAGAAGTAAATATTATGTATGCCACTCCCAAACAAAGATCTTTTAACTGTTGTGGAGTCTTTACTAAAGCCGGCCCACAAGCTCTCTTCCTCATGCCGATAACTTTCTGTAATTGCGTTCACAGTCTCCACAGAGACGTGAGGGTCACAAACACAAATGAAGGAAATAAAAGCGACTTAAAAATATTTAGAGTGACGGCGTCACTGCTTTCGACTCCGTCGGTGCTTTGCTGAACCGTTGTTTAGAAGGACATGATGGTTCTCTTGATGATGTCGGTGCACTCCAGCAGCTGGTCTTCGTTGATGACCAGAGGGGGGGCCAGTCGGATGATGTCGCCGTGTGTGGGCTTAGCCAGGAGTCCGTTGTCTCGGAGGCGCAGACACACTTTCCACGCATCGTAGTCTGGGAGGGAAGATTGTGGTCAGTTAAGGGAGTTCCACGTTAAACCACACTGACTGTTGGTCATTTTGAGGCAGACTGAGTGGAGACATCTTCAAAGAACATAGTTTCCATCAATTCTTAGTTAAACCAAGTTCTTAGGGTGATGAGAAAATATACCTTAATGATTCCACCCTTTAAAATCAGGCTTGTTTGCCTATTTCCCAATTCAGACCTAAAATCCTTAAATTATGTTGCATATGTAAAGATGCTTTTTTTTGTTCACTTTTGGATATACAGCACCAGTTTGGACACGGCCTCATGCGACTGAACCTTTGACTGGTGGTGCAGACAGAACGCTGGGACGCATGTCCTCGTTTCAGAAACAGTGTGGTAACTCTACCTTTGGTCTCTTTGATGACGATCGCATTGAGAAGGCCCTTTCCTCTGACCGTTGTAACAATATCCTCGGGTAGTTTTCTCAGCTCGTCCCGCAGCATCATTCCCATCCTCTGAGCATTTTCTGACAGCTTCTCTTCCTCCATCACCTAGAAAAAGTAAAAAGATTCAATTTCATTAATTTCTTTTTAATCCCAGATGTTAAAAAAATTCTAAACTTGAAAATTAGATTAAATTTTAAATATATATAAATCTGAAGAGTTCTGTTATTAGAGTAAAGAGCAATACGTTTTATCCATTATTAAAACAAGCGTTAAATAAATTATCGTTCAATGTTTCCAGGTCTCAAACAGACCACTCAGCTATTTAACAATGTTCCAGACTTACAAACCTGCGAAGGGAGGGGCAAAGTCGAGGCAAGCCGCATTAATATTTTACCAAAGCTGAATTCAGCCCGGAATAACTTTGAACAGTCAGGTGTCTTTTATGACTCAAAATCGTTGACTTTTTGAGTTTAAAAATTCACTATACGAGACACATCAATGTTTTAACAGGACCGTTTATAAATGATCTTCAAATACCAAGACAAAGTCATCATCTCAGTCTGAGGGTACATTGTCAGCTTACTACAGAAAAGAAGAAAAAGACTAAAGAGAAAACGAAGAGCACTTTAGGACTGACCTCCAGAGCTGCAATAGCCACTCGGCAGGCCACAGGGTTTCCCCCGTACGTGGACCCGTGCTCCCCGGGCTTGATGGTGAGCATCACTTCATCGTCACACAGCACAGCAGACACCTGGGAAGACCAACACACACCGGTTCAACGCAAAGGAGACATCCTCAGACAGACGGGGCAACTTACATCTTTATAAACCAACAGAAAAAACAACAACAAGAATTAAGGAATGTCTGGAGGTAAGTAAAAAAAAAAACGCTCACAGGGTAAACTCCTCCAGAGAGAGCTTTGCCCAGAATCACCACATCTGGGCGCACTCCCTCGTGGTCAACAGCTAGACGCCGGCCGGTACGCGCCAAGCCTGTCTGCACCTCATCAGCAATCCACAACACCTGGAAAAACAGAGTCTGCATCTCAGGACAACAAACATCTCTGTTTTACAAGCCGGGGTTAAAGAAGTCAAACTAGGTTGATGGATCTGATGTTACTCAAGTCAATCCTATACGTTAACGCCCATTTCATATTATGCATATTTCTAATATTGGGGACTGAAATTAACTTCCAATCTGGATTCAAATAAGCATTTTTCAACTGAAATCTTTCAACCTTTGCATGCTATCACACTCTCTTCATGTCTTTCAAAAAGAGCAGCGTGAGAAGAAGACTAATGCATCCAGCTCACGTTAAGAGATGGAACTCTATCAGTTTACCCAAGATAAGGCATTTGGACACTTTGCAGCTCCGTTACAAAATATCCAGCTGTCAGCCTTCCCACTGAGTGGTTCAGAGAAGGAAAAGAACATTGTGCAACAAGTCAAACTCGCGGGCAACTGGCAGGCTGCCTGTGTTTGAGCTTCGTATTTAAGGCTGACGTTTCCATTTGCTTTCGGCTGAATTGCTCAGCGACTGTTTGAGTTTGGGCTTTTTATCGTCACCACATGACCCCGATGAATCGTAAGACCACGCCACGGGTATTGGGTCACCCCATCGTCACGTCAGGAAAAAAAGAAACCAGGTCTGTCCATTAAATGGAACATTGTCCCTAGTTCTTTCAGCCGCTCTGCACCTGCTGCAGACGGCGTTTTATGAGGCTTTTATAGACTTACTCTTTTATCCTCCACTCACACAGCAAACTATACACTCATAGGCCACGTTTTGAGTGAATGGCCATTTTGCAAATCACCTTGATGGGATTAAAAATTCTGTTTCCCACCTGCCAAACTTAACTTTGACATTTTTCTCACATGTGCATCTTAAGAAATTAAACAATATTAAAATGAGACCATGGCCCAGTCTTCTGACGTGCGTCGACATAAAACCGGTTCATTTCTTAAGCTATGGGCCCTTTTTTTCGTGCTTGAATAATACAAAGGTCAATGTGAAGTGGTTAAGCAAACATAAATCATTCGTCAGCAAAGGAAAGGTCAGGGCCTTGACGCGAGAAAAATGCTGCCAGTGTCCAAAGAAACACAGAAAGCTCTTCGAAAAGCCAACGGAGCCACCGCTGTCCCTCACCCAGAAGCGACTGCATCCACACCACAGCAGAAACGATCACTGGCTTATTGTCACACCCTTTCCCTCCCGTCTCGTAAAGCTCGCTCGCGCACGCCTTCCTGTGCATTCCTTAAAAGACTTACGTTGTGTTTCGTGCAAAGTTCTCGGACTTTAGTCAGGTAGCCCTGATCGGGCACCACGACACCAGCCTCCCCCTGGATGGGCTCCACCATGAAGGCCGCTACGTTTGGGTCTTGAAGGGCTTCCTGCAAACAAGGAGAAAAATTATGTAACAGTGTCTATCTACCTATTCAGACAGACTGACAGAGCAGATTTATGCCCACACATACATTTTCACACACAGCAGCACATGCTGTCTTATCTACAACTCCTGTAATAAAGTTAACCGTCGGCCCTGCAGATGAGACTGAAATTTGTACATTTCCAAATATAAGGTGTGGTATTAAAGCTGGTATGTGGTGACTAAGCGAAGAAAAGCTTTGCATAAGCCGATAATAGATGTCGTAGCGTAAATCAAACACCGTTCTAGAACAGTATGTTTCATCTAAGATTTCCCTCCGTGTCCAGGTGTAATCGTACCTCCAATGCAGGAATGTCGTTGAACGGGATGAGCTCAAAGCCGGGCATGAAGGGACCAAATCCCTCATAGCTGCTGGGGTCAGTGGAGCTGGAGATGGCGGCCATGGTGCGGCCCCAGAAGTTTCCATCTATTCACCAAGAGACAGGAATTTAAATATGCCCAGAATGCCAAAAGAATTAGCAAGTCTATGAGTCACAGAGAGAATTAGTTGGCTTAGTCAGCATATCTGATACAATCTGGGTTCTCATGGTGTTATGGATCTGTTACTTTTGCCTTACAGTTACAGTTACCGTACCTAAAAGAGCAGCTTCTCCCCCCCCTTTTTTTTTTTTAAACCAACCACTGGTTGCATTTTAGCCAGAAGGTCAAAGCCGAGGCGTGTCGTTGATGTACTTCAGCATCGCGTGGAGACTTACTTGCAAAGATAATTTTGGCCTTATTTTTGGGCACCCCCTTCACGTTGTAGGCCCACTTCCGCGCAAGCTTGCAGGCAGTCTCACCACCTTCAACCCCTAATTCGTTACGCAAGAAAAAAAAAACAAAAAAACAAAGTCAACGTCTACTTGTGATAACCGTTGAGTGCATTTCACATGGGCCCCCCCATCAGGCCTCCATCAGACATCAGGCGTTACCTGTATTCATGGGCAAAACTTTGTCATAGCCAAACATGTTGGTGATGAATTCCTCATAGGCTCCGAGCACGTCGTTGTAGAAGGCTCTGGAAGTCAGGGTGAGTTTGGACGCCTGGGCACTGAGTGCGGCTATGATCTTGGGGTGGCAGTGTCCCTGGTTAACCGCGCTGTAAGCACTGAGGAAGTCATAATACCGGTTTCCCTCCACGTCCCACACGTTGATGCCTGGAGTTCAGAAGAAGAAAAAAAGAAACTCTTGTGAAGAGTTGCTAATGACGATGCAACACATTAAACAATCCTAAGCCGTTAACATGCCAGAACTCACCCTCCCCTCGCTCTAAGGCCACGGGCAGGGGGTGGTAGTTGTGTGCGCCATATTTGTCTTCTCGGGAGTAGATCTCCTCCGAAGTAAGCGGACGCTCCACCTTGAGCTTGGAGGCTGCGGTGGAGGCAGGTCGTGTTCCGGAGTGAAGGCTCCGGTAGAGGACGGGCGCAGAACGGCTCAGGCCGCGGCTCAGCTGAACAATCATTCCCTTCATGTCGGACACGGTCTGGCTACAGGTGTCTGGCAAACCACACAGGGAGACGAAACATGAGTGTGTTGTCTCAAATAGATACCAGATGAATCAAACTGCTGATAAGGGTTGAGAAGCCATATCTTCAGCAAATTTTAAAAACCACTGATTTAGCTGAAAAGGGAAAATGAGAATGAGATGACATGGAGAAAATAACCACGTTGGTTGTAGAGGGCTTTTGATTGGTCAGTAGAGAGGAAAAGTGCTTCATAAATACAGCTAATTCATCATGCAAAAATGCTGAAACTCAGAAATTCCCAGAGTAACATAAAAGCTGTCCATAAGCATAAATGTATCTGCACCTTGTTGATATCGCCTCTTTTAACCAGCAATTCTGATCTTCAAAATAAATTTTCATAACTGATTCATGAAACCTCAAGTCATATTTCCACTTCAAAGTCCTTCCCCAATGAGCTCAGGGAAGAAAGTTATGCAAGTACGTACGGCATTACATTTTTTTCTTTTGTATGATGGAGCTTGTACATGTGGATGAATTTAAAAAGTGTCTTAAAAGTTTATGTTTTGCAATCGAGATTATTTTACTTTTCTGATTCATTGACTCATTTACCTTTAAGTCCCTCACAGAGTGGAAAACTCAGCCCTAACTTTATAGCTGTTTTCTGGGATTCCTTTCTTACATAAATAGTATATGTCCAAACATGTTGGAAACCTACAGCTGGAGTGAAATGCTAAATGGGGATTCATGTTTCTCAACTAAACAACAGCAACATTTGATATATTTTTCTCTTTACAGCATCTTCAGTTAAATATAGAGTTCAAGTAATTTAAGTAATCATGCTTATGCCTGTGATAAGAACTAAATGTTTTAAATTACACTACAAATGCAAAATTGCTTTAAGTGGGAACTACGGTAGAGTATTCATTTACTAAATGAGCTAAAAAATATATATATAGATGTATATATAATTGGAACTCCATGTCTACAGGCAAAGGGACAGTCTTTTTGTTACAGAACAAGTTGGTACACACTAACGTAGTGGAAAGTACAGTGAAGGTAGAAACTCAGGATTAACTCGGTTTAACACTGACTAATTCAGTTAATATATTATTTAAAAAGTACATCTCAGAGACTGAACCCAGGGCCAAATGTCAATCTTAAATTCCACACAGCACATAGGCTTTAGAGATCTGCTGAACTATAGTTCCCTTTCATTTTGAGGACAATGGAGGAACAGACCGTTACTGGATATGAGTTAACAAAAGATAATCCCACAACAACTCAACTGCAACGTTCCAGACTTTTCTACTTTGGACACTTTGAAAGAAATGGCAACACTTCAAGACCTTATAACATTAACAAATCGTCTTGATGCTGAACATTTTTCAAGTTTTCCAAGGTTAACTTAGTGTATTTTGTTTCATTGTTACATAATTATGAGAGGCACTGGTAGAAAATCAAAAGCACATGGAATACATTGCAGAGAATAATTAACAAATAAATAATAAACTAATAATTAACAAATGTTGAGAGAAAACACCATAACAGGAGAATGGATCCTATCATTGACTCATCCCTCAGTCCTTGAGAGATGATAGGTTCCTAGGGATCTGCCTCCAAAGTACACCCACCTACATCACAGCCAAGAGCTAAAAAAAGGTCTACAGTTAGGATCCAGTCAGATGATAGTCTGAACTCTGAAGCTTCCCCAAACCATCCCTATTAAGTAAAATTGCATAACTCGAAGTTTTTCTTAAGTTTTCATCAAAACAGTAGACGTGTGTGATTAAATTTAAGACACACTAGCCTGTCGAAACATACATACATAATTTAGACAAAGATCAAAACCTGTGAAAGATGAATGGAAAGCGCACGGAAGCACGTCGTCTCCCTCATGTAACACCGGCGAGCTAGGTAACATTAGCTAGCTAACACACACCATTCAGTCATTATTTCATTAACCATGGCAATTTATCTATTTAAGACATTTCTAAAAGAACTTCCTAAAAAATGATGACAATTGAAACTGTACCAGAGGAGAGCGGAGCGAGGCAAGTGGACTTAAAGGGTGATGGCTGTCCGGCTTGTTTTTTGACGCGAGCTGTTCCGGTGCAGATTATCAAACTGTCTGCGACGTACAGGGGGCGGGTGTGGTGCGTGATGACGTCACAGGATACGCCCTCATGTTGCAATTTACACTGATGATTGCAGAAAGAAAGGTCGTGTCAGTTTAAATTCTTTCCCAAAGAAAATAAAAAAGATTATATCTCACATTTTTTTATTAGCAACAGCAAAATAGATAATTCTATTATTCATATTGTCTGTCACATAACTATGTGCTGATTTTAATTCAGAAAAATTAATTAAAAGATAGTTTGGTGAGCATAGGGGACAGTTAAGAATCACTCTGATGTGGTCATTGTTAATCGATATAGAATTTTATAAACATTTCACCATAATAACAAAGCAATTAGAATGTTTTTAATATCTGGATGAAACAATCATCTTAGAAAACATGGGAACAATCTTAGGCCATTTTTCATCCATCCTCATCTCACGTCCCAGTGTCATTTTCTAGCAGCATAGATGTTTATATATTCCAAAAAAATCAAAGGAAGAGTCTTGAGGAGAAACAGAGGAAATGGGTATCATTTTTATGTTTTCTCTTTTTGATATTTTCTCTTACATTAATTTGAATCTATAATTACTTTTCTTGATAAAATTTTTTTAACTTTCCAGATTTATTCTTTACCCCAGATTTGTTTTACAGTATCTAAGTTTTCCTCTTTATGACACTCGTGTAACTCCACTCTTGACAGGCTGTATTACAACACACGCATGCGCATTAAGCACTTCGTCATGGCTGAAACAGGGTGGCCAGAGTGTGCAAACACTTTGAAAGGTGTCATTTTAGATTTATGCGGAGTCCTGTATGACAGTGGGGAGGGCGACGGGGTTGCCATTCCAGGATCGATCGAGGCTGTGAAAAAGTGAGTGAATGATCGCGAGATTTCCCCGATCACTCGGCATTATTATGCGTAAACCGGGAGCTGCGTGCACGAATTTGCTACACAGTCCATCAATTTATCCAAAACAGAACGTGCGAGCCGTAATCCTTTTTGTGTGTAACAAATTTGCAAATCTATTTGTTGCCAGAGATGTGTGACTCACTTTCTGTCTGACTTCCTAAATGACGTTTAGGCTCAAGGAATCTGACCTGAAGCTGCGGTTCTGCACTAATGAGACACAGGCAGCCAGAGAGAAGTTTGTGGCTAAACTTCAAAGACTGGGCTTTGACATTTCTGTGAACGAAGTCTTTCCTCCTGCTCCTGCAGCCGTAGGCGTCCTCAGAGAGAGGGGCCTACGGCCTCACCTGCTGGTGCACGACGGTAGTGCCATGCACCCTCCTCCTTTTGGGTTTCATTTCTTTCTTTCTTTATTGCCACATCAATACATGGATGAATCCCAAAAGTGTCAGCTTTCTGCAACTTTTCACATTGTGGTGTGTCTTTTTTAGGACTTCTCTCGGAGTTCGACGCCGTGGACAAAACCAACCCAAACTGTGTGATTATCGGAGATGCCGCCGAAAAGTTTTCCTACCAGAACTTAAATGAAGCATTTAGGGTCCTCATAAGCCAGGAGAAGCCAGTGTTGCTCTCATTGGGGCAAGGGTAAAATAATTCTCCTGTACTTTTCATTCCTAATAGTACCTACAGAAAGAGTTCAGAATGTTTTTTATTTGTAGGAGATACTACAAGGAAACAGATGGTTTGAAGTTAGATGTCGGTGTCTACATGAAAGCTCTGGAGGTAAATCAGCCTCATGATCATTGATTGAAAATTCCAAAAACTACGTATGTGCAGACTTATGAAGATTGCATTATCTTTCCCTCTAGTACGCTTGCGATGTAAAGGCTGAAGTTATTGGAAAGCCATCCCCTACGTTCTTCCAGAGTGTTCTCAACGACATGGGAGTTCAACCACATGAGGTGTGTAACTAAAACGCATTCGAAGCTCAAGATGAGCGAAGCAAGCTTCTAGTCTTTTGCGTAGCATTGGATTCTTTCTTTGGGGGAAGTTCGAATGCATCCTTATTTGTGGGTTCTGCTTCATGCTTTGACCTCAGGCCGACCCGGGAGATAAAACGATGAACTTACCAAAAGGGTTCCATCATGGAATGCTATTTCTGTTGTCCCGATTCATAGCAGCCAGCTGTTAGTGGTTTTAGCCGCTATAACACTGCTGTAAAGCCATCAGAATGGGATTGATGCTTGAGTTTTCTTTTACACATAGTAGTTTGGTGCTTTACAATGACAGTAATCAGAGTTTTTAAGAAAAAAAACAAGAAGATCCAGATTTGCAATTCAAAACACAATTACATAGATAAGATATAAAGTATGTGAAGGATTCATGTGCCAGTATCTCAGTATGAAATGAATGAGCAGCACATTCTTTTCAAGGATGTGCTTAATCTAGAACAATTTAGAAACACACCTCCAAATCATCCTCAGAATGTGTTATATTAGCAATATAACTCTGAAAATGTACTGAAGCTGGTGTGTATACACAGCAGTGTGTGACCAGAAAAACACGTGTTCCCCTTTTGGTCTGAATTGCATGCCTTTTTGTTGTCAGCTTTATATATTTGGCACTAAGAAGCTTAAAATAGTCCACTGGAACATAGAGGACGGCCAAGACTGGACTGAATGGTTGCACGATCTGTGCTCAGTCGGCAGGTGTCTGAACATCTATTTGACATCTATCTCTGGCCATCTTGGTCTATCCTAAAACTAGGAATAAGCACAATTCCTGCCTCAACTCTAAACCTGTCTATTTTTTAACCTGACAGCTTTCACTCGAGAAACTCAGGTTTATCTAACTCAATGCCTCAGTCCGTCCTTTAGATTGACTTTTCTGTGGCTGAGATATGGAATGGGAACAGCTAAATATGTGTGGGAGTGTTTGCAAACAGCAACACATTGTAAAAGAAAACATGTTTTCTCTTTATTCTTCATCAATTTTAGGCACTGATGATCGGAGATGACCTTGTAAATGACGTTGGAGGGGCCCAACATTGTGGAATGAAAGGTGTGCAAGTCAGGACTGGCAAATACAGGTTAGCAATTCAGCGAATCCACAACACAAACTCCTCAAACTCCATATTAGGACAAATATGGGTCAAATTCATCATGAACCATTAAAGCAATTATTGATCCTGCTGCCTGGTTCATTATGCTTCTAAGCTTCCTTTAAGGGGCTAGAAAAAATCCAAATACTTATATACAGACATAACATCTCTCTCTATATATATATGTATGTATGTGTATGTATGTGTGTGGTAAATATTATTTTTGCACATGCTGAGAAGCAAAATCATTATTTTTATTAATTTAGTTTAGCCAGAAGAGGGAGCCCTTACACTACATGTGTGAGCCGACCACTTCCTACTGAATTTTTCTAAATTGTTTAGTTCTTTGAGACTCGACTAAAAAACTAAATACATCATCGTCTGTTCCACATGAAGACCTAAAGGTTTAGGGCAAAAAAGGATTTACGATTCCCACATAAAGATTCCCGAGGCACCCTTTTCAGTGTGTAATTACAGAAACTTTCGGTTGATTATTTTTGAAGACAGATGTGGTACTTTTTGGCTCGAGGAAAGCATAAAAGTGACTGTGGGACGAGGACGTGCTGTTAGGGAGCTACAAATTATGTCATATGTAATGCACAATGGGATGTGTTTTCAGAGTCATATATCAGCCTCTTTTTAATTTGTTTTTCTGTATATGACACTTCCTTTCCCTGAAGTTTGAAAAGGGGATCATAAAAATTTTCGTATTGAGTAAATGTGGTGCTGGTCAGGAAAACCTCATTGCAGAAGAGATTACAGGGAAGTCAGAGGGGAACTTAAATTGAAACCTCCTACAGGAATAAAACATAAGACGTGAGTCAAAGACATTATCATTAAAAACACATATTGAATACTTATGGAAAACAGCTCTTGAAAAGCAGTATAAATGACCGTCGTAAACTATGATGTAAAGCTCTAGCTCACCCTGATAGATGTGATTTGATCAATGCTAGCAGCTTTAAGAGTCAAATACAGGATGCATTTGATGTAGGGGGAAAATGTGGCGTTTTGGTGGCCCATTCCAAATCATCAGTGAAAGGAAGTTACAACTTCTGCAAAATGTTGGTGTTGGGTCCAGAGGAAAGGGATAGGAAAGGCCAGAACCTCTCAGAATGGAAAAACATACTTTGTTTCTTTTTTTGCGGTCTCCAATTCACGGTGGTGCTATTTCTGGAGAGGTCCGATGGTTTGGGCCCAGATTTGGGCAGGCAGGAAAAAGAAAATCACAAGAATTTGCCAACATACTTTGAGCTTGTAATTTCCCACTCTAAGCTGACCTAATCCACACACTTAAAGCCTAATATGGGAGTCGTCATTGGACAAAAGGGGGCTCACTTTATGAGCCAGAGATCTGCTGAGTAGGCTTTTTTTTTTTGTTTTTTTTGTTAAATGAACGAGATTCCCACAACACGATACAACCTCCTGCCACAATAAATGTCTGCAGCTTTTGACCAGGTGACAGTGACTGATCCTCCTGAGCATCGGCCATCTTTAGTCAGTACTAAACCCTTACCCAGTCTGTATTCTAATGTGGGTGGGTGATTTGATTTTTGTTTAGTTTTTTTGTGTCGTGGGTAACTGTAAGTGCATGTGTGAGTACATCATTGTTATTGGAGACGGTTTGTTGGTTCGTTTGAGAGCCGGTACTATGTAGTGCCTCAGCACAGGTATAACAGTCACTCTCTTTCTAAAGCAAATTCTCAGTTGAGTTGACTCAATCCTTTTGCTGACACACTGTACAGTGTCCAATATGCTCAAAGAAAAACAGGATGAAGCAGATTCAATTGTTTGCTCAACCTCATTTTTTCATATTAAGGAGACAGCAGCTGGTAAGACTAGAAAGGAAAAAGAGCTTGTGTAATCACTCTTGAGTTACCTGACATATTGTGTTCGGGTTCGGTTAAAGCACATTGATGCATTTATCAAACTCCATCCCTTTGAATGCTGCATTGCATTCAAAGTGTTAAAGTTGTACAAGAAAGAATGTTTAATGGTAAAACTGTCTGTGCTTTGAATTAACTTTTGCGCCACCTATTTGTTGCTGATTCATCATGTATGTGTGGGAGTGATAAAAGATGACACTTGTTGTTGTTGCATCTTTTTGTGTGTGTGTGTGTGCGTGTGTGTGTGTAAACCACAAAATCAAATCAAGCTTTGTTTGTACAGCACATTTACAACAACCAAAGTTGATCCAAGTGAAGTACGCTGCATAATCAAACACACTTTGACGGAATATAAAGATGTAGATACATAAAACAGTTCAAAATACTAAAAGCTTTAATTGCAATAAAACTATTTTGAAAACAAAGATGTCTTTATTAGGGTTTCAGGAATAGAGAACATTTAATTCACCCTGGAAGGCTCTTCCACCCACAGCATCGCAGCTAAGAATAAATTATTACGGTGAGCTGTCCTTTTTTGTTATTAAATAGAACTAGCTCATGATATTCCAAATCTCTCACAAGACTATACAACATGTCTGAGAATACTGTAGGAAAAGAAACCGCTACATTAATAGCGTTTCAGTGGGATCTCAACTTGTGGGGGGACACTCGAGATTTAACATTGTTTTGCTGAGCAGGCCCAGTGAACCCAGACCTGCTTTGAGCTGCTATAAACCCACAGTCAGAGCTGTGAAAACACAGCTGTTTCCAAGTCAACCAGATGCTGCACAGGCCTCCAGTTCCCATCAGGTTTGCAAAAAGCTTGAAATACCTCCAACCGAGTGACAAGACAGGAAGGGAAAGGGATACAAATCGCTGACAAATCTAATCCTATCGACTTTTATTAAAGGCTTTCCACCTGATGAGCCGTTACACGGCAGAGACTGATCCGTCTGTTTGAGGAATCCTCACGTGCTCTATCACGATATTCACAGCCAACACTTCAAAAGACAGATGATTGGAGGGGAATCTTCTCAGTGAATCCACAAGGCTGTTTTCCATCTTTCTGTGGGTTGCTCTTAAGAGGAGGAGTCAAAAGTGAGCCTCAGATATGATTATATGGTGTTTATTATGTACAGCGGTGCCGGAATGTGGATGTAATATATTCAGAACAGTGTTTTTGGTGGAGAGCCATACCACTCTTTGGCAAGCAGCATTTATATAGAAAAGACTATTTGTGTAGTTGGTTGTTTTTTTTGCTATCTCATTAGATCATGTTTATGCAAAATTGAAAAGAAATCAAAGGCAAACCAAACAAAGTCATTTTACAGACACTGAAAGTGGAGGAAGTGGCAGAAGTGGCATCAGGGGATGGTATAGAGGTAATTGTAATTACAGGAGCTCCCCCTTTACTGTTACTACTCTGTTAGCAGGCTCTGTCTGCATCTAAGCGTTTGAAGTGGAGAAAATGTCCCTGGCGCCATGTCTCAGTAAAACCTTTAACACTGCATTCCCAGTACGTTCTCTGATTCAGACTCAGTTTTCTGGTATTACATGCAGCAATAAGTGTAAGAAAAACATCATGTGTCTTCTTCATTGCTCTCTGTTCGTCTCCATGCTCCACATCTGAATTCAGGATCGTATTCATGACTAAAACCATTGGTCACTATGGCTAATAATAACAGATGTTAAAGCCACTTACCTTAAGATTTCTTCTATGCAGTACAGCTCCTAAACTTGAGTAGAAAATGTTCTTCAAAATATCAGTATTGTCACACATCGGCTCAGGAAAAAAAAAAAGAAGATGTTTCCATCTACTGCATTGGCATTTTGGTGAAGAACCAAACTTCACTACAGGACTTTACAGCCATGTCTATACAAGCTGCAAACATGACACTGAGCTGACTTTTTTGACCTAGCATGGAGCATTAGCAGTAATCTGTAGTCTGACCACAGAATGCATGCAGGCCTTAGCAAGAGCAACAGCTCTTTGGAATCAAAAAGAAAATTAAAGTCGTATGAATTTTTTGTCAGACTTATTCTTGCTCAAATAATGGTATACATTTATGGTAAATCCTATCAAAGAGCTTATGTTTTAGTTTCATTCCGGAGCTACAATGATTTCTCACTAAAGTCTTGCCTTGAATCCTGATCCGGCTAACTGAGGCAGCTCCAGGATTCTTTTTAGTTCATTTCAGGTTTGTTTTTGACCATTCAAGCAAAATATTACACTCACCACTTTTTTATTCTTATGGTGTGTTTACCATTTGGTCCTGTGGAGGCTGCAGTGATCTTTCTGCTGTGAGTACAGCACAGTTTCAAACAAACAGCAAGAAAAAATCACAGCCACCATGTCAGAGGTGAAAAACCATTAAGCATTTAGGGAAAACTGAACGCACCGCAGGACCTGCAGAGAGGATGAGCGCAGATTTTCAGATAGATCTTTGCTGGATTGTCACTACAAATCATCCTGTTCATTCTAATCCGCTGTTGATAGAAACATTGATGTGTGCTGCTTTAAAATGCTGGATTGGTGTTTTGGGTTTTGGCAGCACAGAAAAGCCCCGAAAAGGTTTTAAGTCCTCACAACTGTTGAACAATGAAAAAAGCCTTGTGTTTGTGTGGTATCGGTAAAACTGTTAGCAGTGTGTTTTACCGCCGGAGCACTCGGGGGGTTTAAGTACGCCGTCCTTGTTCTCTGAGTCCCACGGGCCTCTTGTGTGCTGTCTGTTTTGAATAGGGGGGTCTCCCACCGTCTCTGACCTCGCTTGGCCCTGTGTTCTTTGTTTCTGTTGTCTTATCTTCAAGGAACTGCATCAGCACAGCGCCGGGCGGCTTTGAAGCTATTAAAGCAGCTTCACGTCACGCTGCGTCTCCATCGGCCGTTTGTTAAGCAGTTTTATTGCTGCTGCTGCTGCTTCTCAGGAGGCTCTGTCTGGAGCAATCACAGAAACCTCCACTTGATTTCTCTGCTTCCCTGGTTTAGGAACCACTCGGTTAGATGACCCAGAAACAAACAGGACAGATAGGTGTGTTCCCCCTGAGCCGGCGGGTCCTGGGAGGTCCCTTTGCTCGGTTCCTCTCGTATTCTGGCGGCGAGCGCACAGCAAACATTTTCACACAGCAGCAACCGTCCTGAGAAACGGTTTACACTGTAAACCTCCCTCTCCGGCTGACGCTCGACCGC